AACATGTTTACATTCTCTGGTCGTACGTCAAACGTTAGATTGTGCTGTGTTTGCTTTCTTTGATTTCTGTTGTTGTTTTGGGAACATTTTGTCCTTCGTTACGGCTCCTAAGTGTAAGTCAGACTCTCTGCTGTTTTTTAAGTCCTAGTTGCCGATATGTTAGCGTACAACAGAATCCTGACGTAAGTCGAGGACTCCATGTACTGCACATTAACGTGTACACTTCCTGCCATAGATTATTGTCCTTATTTACTGACATTATAGAAAAGTATCCACATAAAATTACACAGATTTGACTCAAGAATCCTTTAGAATCTTTAGCCCTGCACCATAGATATCCACACCAGCTATAAATATCTGATGTGAAACATGACTGCTGAATCATTTTGGCGCATTGCTCTGTAACTGTTGAATAAAAGTGGGGAAAAAAGGCCAATCAGCAGCAAAATAGTTAGGTGTCGTAGATATTTGACCATTTCCAGACGAATATCGTTGGTGTTTGTACTTAAACACAAGCCCTTCTCCTAGTGCTGATCCCAGCAGCGGTCGCCTGTAAGGTGTGTGTAGAGAAGATGAGTCCATTAGTATTTTAGATATTTCAACTGCTATCTCTGGATCAGGGTAAACAATCAATGAAAGCACTCAACAGCAGCAGTCTAAGTGATCCTGGAATGAATGTTGGATAAAGAACAAACTGTTGTAAACAAAGAAGAAAAACATCTAACACAGGTTATTCACTTCTTATTAAAAGAAAATCAATTCATTAAAAAAGAACTTTGAATCAAGGACTATGGTTAAAGTCATTTCCTGGGTAAAATGGTGATGTATGGAATTGGACATTTGAATTTCCTGTTTATAACATGTTGAAAATAGAAACAATCTAATGAAATACTAACCTTTTAGAAGCTAAACTTGTTAGCAGTTTAGGATTTATATCGATCTGTGAAATCTTTTTCTGTGGGGTTTCAGATTAAGGGTTGAACACACGGGGGTGGGGGGGCTGACCTATTACTGTCCATGGACCTTTACAAAGCACTTTGTCCGTCTGTGTCCCCAACCTTTGTCTTTGATCTTGTTCTGATCTTTTCATCTCTGTTGACTCCCAGTCAAATTTTAGCCTCCAGTTCAGCTCTGGTTGTTATAATCCTCGATAAAAACAACTCTTCTTCAAATGTACAGGGAATGGCGAGTTGATGAGCAGACCAGCAGACAGAAGTGAGAAATGAAGTGAAAAGCACGAGACAAGCAGAATAATTTAATCCAGTGTTGAGGCGCTGGCAGAGGGTGGTAATTACTGGCAGAGGTCAACAGGGGGGGCTCACTTAACTCTTATTTGGCAGGGAGATGAAGACGAGGGCGACGGGGTTCTAATGCTCCGATAACAATCAGCCTCCGTCTTGAACGGAAGAATGCTGCAAAAATGCAAAACAACAACAGTTATGGAACTGTCCCAAGGGCTCCTGGTCATCGAACCTCCACACCAGACAGACACTTCAGTCCCTGTACCTGTTCAGGCTACTGGTTACCAGTTGGTACCAGTGACCTACCTGGGATCTAGGCACTGGCTATTGATTCCACACTGGGGACATTGTTGTGGACACGCCAAATATGGGACGTGAACCCTAGACTTCTGTGTGTAAGGCAGGTGTGTAGGCAGGCGTGAACATCGCTACACTATGGAATCACTAAAAATGAAAATATTGTGCTAACACAAAATTCAAAGGAAGCTTCTCAGGTCTTTAATCCTGGGCGCTTCACTAACGAGGAATGTGTTACGTATGGATTTGGACGGTCTGGAAATACAGTATGTCTCCGCGTCTGGACTGGTTTTAGACGTGCCCTCTTGTGAAGATAATAAAAAATGACAAATCGTCAAAGGTCAATGCTCGGCCACAGTTACCCAGAGTGATGTTGGTCTGATGAGCCCAGAACCTTCACTTTAGATTTGTCATTTCATCATCACCACAGCCTCTCCATACTTCATACACAGTCCATTTGTTAAGGGGATGATGCACAAGGACAGTCCAGGTGCTGTCATATCACAATGTTAAAAAGACCCTCTTGGGGAGGAGCCCTGTATGAGAAGGCAAATTTAAAAACACCTCTGTCTCTGTCTCTCTTCTCTTCTTCTTTTTCCTCTGGCTCATAACCCTCTTCTCTCTTTTTGATACATCATCTATTTATTCACATCAAGGACAAGGCCAGGTGCTGAATTCACACCTCCTTGTCACCGACAGCCCGTTCTTCCTTCCTGCTTCTCAAACCTTTATTACATTTGGGTTTTGGGTTGTTTTTTTTGCAAAGGGAGAATAAACTGTAAAAACATTTGTCAACTGCAGTGTCTGCTAAATGATTTTTTTTTAGACGTCAACTTCAGATGTTTCAAAGACAGTTCTTTTGGTTGTTGTGTTCTCTCACCTTTCTTCTATCTGTTTCTCCTCCTGGTATTAATTGTAAATGTCAGTTACATAGCTGAATTTAAAAATGTTTCACAGTGAGACATCAGTCTTCAAGGTCCTGTGTTTTCTTGTTAACTTTTCTTCGTATCAGTGAGAGGCTGCTCTGGGAGAACAGAACAAAAGGCTCCCCAGATGTCTCTGGGAGAACAGAACAAAAGGCTCCCTAGATGTTTTGTTTGTTTAATTCATTTATGAACATAATATAAAAATATGTTTCAAATAAATTAAATAAATGTACAAAACAGACAATACACCAAAGGTTTATTGTTTACATGGCTAATACTCAGTATGAAACTAAAAAAGAAACAACAAAACCAAATCTAAATGAAAATATACAGACCTGCAGTAGATATTCCAGGGTGAAGCCTCACCTGTGAAGCAGTGTCTATTTGTTGTATTTCCACCACAGTTACAGTGTTTGTGCTGCAGCGTTTCATGTAGACAGAAAAAACCATTGTCGTCCTATTTTCATAAACACAACAAAATAGAGATCATTCCCTTGAAAACACGAGAAAGGCATTTGGTATTTACCAGACAGAGGAATATTTCTGTGTAGCTGAACCTTTGTATCGTCTTTGAAGAAAGTCGTTTCATCTCTGTGGGCATTTTCAGCATTGAACATAACAACTTTGATTATGCTTTTGCCATTTTTAGAACAGGAATGAGAAAAATGTCAATTATTCACCTGTTTTTGTTATTGATATTTTTTGTTGTTCGTCTAAACTGTCACAAACAGCTTCACTGAAAAATAAGGCACGTATGTAGTTGAAGCACTGAGTTCTAATAAGACAGTCAGGAAGCATTAATGTACTATTATAATCTGTATTAAATAATCCATTATGATGCCTTAATGCACGTGTCAAACTCAAGGCCCGGGGGCCACATGCGGCCCGCCAAGTTGTTCTGTGTGGCCCGCAGGATCTTAAAAAGCATTTAGTAAAGTTCATGCAGCAGAGTTTCTTCTCCTGAGAAAATGAAGAATGAAAAATATTTGTAACTTGAATAAATAATAATCAGTTGCAGAAACATGTGTTAGTCTGTTATGGAGTTGTTACATCTATACTGGCGGTTTCCAACATTTTTCAAGATTTTTTTTTAAATATCAGAGACGACAGAAATGATCTAATTGGTAATCAAGAAGATAACAAATGAGTTTTTATTTTTTGGCTTAGTGCAATCATTTATTGGTAACTCTGGCATAGGGTGAACTGACTCCGACTACAACGACTACAGTTATCCAAAAGATAATTATGTAAAAATGAGACAGTCTGTGCCTGAGGTCTAATTAAACCTCCTGAGCCGATGTCTGCTCCTGAGAAATCAGTAGATTTAGTCTCGTACAGATCCAGGCGTCTGACTGTATGAACGTAGTGTTTCAGCCTAGAACAGATGAGGCCTCCTCCTGTAAGTGTGACAGAGCACGGTGTCATGAGACTGGGTGTGGTCTGGATTCTCCAGGGGGACGAGAAGAGCATCTGTTTAAGGGGAAGACAGTTCTCAATTCGGAATCCTGATTAAATAAAGGTGAACGTTGATATGGATTTTGAGATTCACCTTCGACGGCAGGAGAATCCAGATTTCACGATTGCTCAGTTAAATAATTCTTTGTTAAGACTGTGACCTAGCATCCCAGTGGTAATACTCACACAGCAGCAGCAGCGTTATACCTGGTTTGTTTGTTCTTACCTGTAAACACACATCTGGGACATAACATGGGAACATTGTACTGACACAGTCTGATCCCAGTATTGGTTATACTCCCTGGTTAGATAAAAAGGTGTTGTTGCAGACACTAAATTTAATAATCATGTGAATCAGGTCAATACAAATCATATTGTCTGTAGCTGTCTTCTTTAAAATAAAAGTTGGCTGTTCTGATCGTTGTAGCTACTGACATAAGGTTTAATATAAAAATAAATAAATTAAACTATATATTGAAACCCAGGACTCTCTATTTAGGCAGGCTAACTGCTACACTATGGAAACTGCTAAAGATATGCTCTAGGTGAGGCTCGAACTCACAACCTCGGCATCACTCTGCAGGTTACTGTCTTATAAGTACCGCGCGCTGACCGATTGCGCCACTAGAGCTCACGTGTTAGACCATTGGCCACCTCAGGTTTTTGGATTCCTCTGACACTAGTCAGTGGTGTAGCGTTGATGAGGGTTAGGCTCCTGTGTGTGAGGTCTGTCCCCCCCTCCCCCCCCCGTCTGCTGGGTGGGGTTCGTGTCATCACACTCACCTGTGTCTCTGGGATTAGTCTCACTGGTGTCACCTGGTGTCCTGGCCTCACTGCTGGTGGTTGGCGTTCCTGCCTGATGTTCCTGCTTGAAGTTCTGCTCTTCATTTCCTGTGCCCCTTGTATTGAGTCCTTTGTTCCTGCAACTCAGTGAGTTTTGTGATGTTGTCCCTGGTAAAGAAATTACCTTCACCTGAAGAGATTGTCCGTAGAACTGCATTTGGGTCCTGCCGACCTGAAAATGTGTTGGTTACGTGTGTTTTTTTACTACTCAATCTGCAACCTTTGTTTTGGCTTACAGACTGTGGCATTCTGACCCAGAATACAGTGGGAGAGGAGACATCAGAGACACTTGGTTCTTAAAGAAAGGTAAGGCTGTTCACACCCCCCACTCACTGCCAACACAAATCTTCTGCCTTCTTCCTGTTTCTTCTTGTCAGTTCTTTGGTTGCTGGATATGTTCAGATCACTCCTCTGTCATATGAAATCTAAAACTGACAGTTCCTTGATTCATTAAAAAAAAAAGTATAACCTGTTGAGTGGAGTTGACAGTTGTGATGTGTGCACCTTCACTCACTGTAATATTTTTATTTTATTTTTTTCTGTGACCTGGTCCACCTGCCATGTTCAGATGTAGTCCTCAGGGACAGCTGTCCACTTACAGCGCTCAGATTGGAAATTTTCGCATTTATGGTTGCACTGACCTTAACATCACAACTGTCAACACTCTACAAAGAAGTTATTAAAGTATATATATTATATATTTTTACTTTTTTTCCTCTAAACTCTGGGCAGGGGTCGTAATGTTCTGTTTTATAACAGCTACATCAGAGGTACAGTATATACAGAGTGGAGGCTTGTTATCATTCAAGCATTACAGCAGAGGGGCACTAATGTCCAGTGAGCCCCTCCCCGTGCCCCCCCCACACACCCCCCCGCGGGGGCCCGCCCCACTATTTGAAAAGTACTGGAGTGTTGAAATTAAATTGGAATTGGACATGTCCTTGCAAATACATGGAAATAAAAATCTGAAGAATTCCTACTTTTCCACTTCAGTCATTTTGTTGCCCGGGGCCAGTTAAATTGTACCCAGACATTAGCTCAGCAATAACTATATATGCACTGATGAGAGTTTAATTTTCATCACTGTCTGTTTTTTTGGTTTTTGAGTCTTTTTTCTTTGTGCTTTAGAAGTTCCACAGTGACATTGTTAGTCAGATTTAAACATATTTGTTCCTGCCTTTGTCAGTAATGTGTTTATTTATTTACAACCTGATTACAGTTCTGTTACTTATTCAGTTAATGGGTCTTTGTTGCTCTACTAAGGAGTGCATTGGACAGTTATGTCTGCGACTAGATGGTTTGATTTTTCTCCTACCATAAATTAAAAAAAAAGCATTTGTTCTGCTAAACAAATGTGGAGTGCATTAAAGCCTAATTATGTTCTTAATTATCACAGATGGAACAGTTGGCTGTTTAGATCGTTATGAATTTGGCCACAAGTAGGCGCTTTGGATGTTGTGTGAGAACAGGTGATTTCTTCAGGGGCCTGTACCCAGCTGTAAGCTCTGACTGACACTTCTGTTACGGATACAGGATGTGATGCAATCCTATGGACTCTGGGAACAGTTCCCTGGCCCTCATTTTCCACATCAGCAAAGACATGAAATGCCAGCTTGCTTCCATAGCCCAGGCTGCCTTCTGCCGACTGATAAAAAGATAAATATTAAAGTTCTCTGTTGTGAGCTCTGTCTAATTGATTCTTTCCGGAGGGTGCTCACAGAATGGGCTGACAGCAGGCGATACCAGGCTTTGTCAACACTGGGCAAACTGCCTGACATTCAGGATGGCACCACAAAATGAAGCCCCAAGTGACTATAGCAACCTGAGGCAGCACACACTGAGGCTCTGCATCACTCTGGACCGGCTTTAAAGTAATAATAACACAGGAGCAGCTCGTTCTTCTGCTGCGTGTCAGTGCCTGCCAGCTGTCTGAGAACTGGTTCTATATTTGTGTGTGTGTGTGTGTGTGTGTGGTCTTCATATGGTGGTCTTCATGTGGTGGTCTTTGTAGGGACATATTTTAGAGAGTCGCTAAGATCACTGTCTGCCTCGCTGATCAATTGACTTGATCGGAGATGGAGTTAAAAAAAGAGGAAACAAACAGCATGCAGCAGAGGCTGAGCAGCACCAGTGATTTGAACCTTCTCACCGATTCATCTGCCCCACATACTCTGATTAAATACCCCTGGTTCTTTGCCCACATCTCATAATAGTTATAATGTGCTAACAAGTTTGTCTGGACTATTTTTGGTTTCAGTTTAGCGGGGTTTAGATGTGACCCATATTTTGATGAATCTTGTTGCCATAAGATACTAAAGGAACATTATGTGTTTTTAAATGGCTGAGTCACCTGTTCAGATCTATGGAATACAGCAGCACTGGTCGAGATCTATTATCCAGAACCACAACGTATTCATTCAAACCCGTGACCCATTTTAGGATTACAACCCACTATTTGAGAAAAACAGAGCTTTGAGTCCATTGTGCTGAAGGACAGATGTTGGAATCACAACAGAGAAAACCCCAAACAAAGCTACATTTCTGCTTGGCCTTTGTGGAAGTCTTACGTAGCCGTCCTGACCACCTGCCATATTGACTCTTGGTCGTTTCACCTCTTCTGTTCTGATTATTTTTCTCTCCTCCGTCATTCTCAGGTCAGCCACGTTAATGCACAAACAATAAGGCTGTATAATTCTATTTTATTTTATTAAAAGGTTTATTGTTCCGTTTTATGATTACCATGTTCAGTCAATCATGGATCAAACTGCAGTCGATTCTCTTCTCTTGACTCTGCTTCCTCTGGCTCCTATTGTGAGGCAAAATAAAGTTTTACCTGAACCATAAAATAGTGCTTTTGCTGACAGAAAATACAAATGCAATTAGTTTTTTTATGTGCTGACTCAAGGTTACATCTACCTGCTGCTAAAACAATTACTTGCTTACTGTCGCTTTAATTCACAGCCATGTCAGACAGTAAGATCACCAAAAACAGCATGGGACTCCACATCTCATCGAAGCACACAATAATGTCAGCAGGACAGCTTGGATTTCTTTTTTTCTCTCCTCTGTGACGTGTTACGAAGTGCTAACGTAAAGTCGTGTGTTCTTTCTTTGTAATTGTTACTCACCGTGACCTGTAAAACAGTGTCCCCCTCTGAAGTACTGTAAAACAGGCGTTTACTTCATCTCTTCTGCTCCACCTACCAAAGAACATGCCGTTTTATGTGTGTTCTAAAAAGGCTTCCCACTTCATTTATTTTTAATGCTTTTATACTTCACATTTAGAGCGGTGCGGCGGAGATCTCGATGCTGCACAAGACTCATTAAGTCCAGACACTCATCCACAGCATTTTTCTCATGAATCTGATTGACCTTTTCTCTCCCTGTGGCCCGCAGTAAAGGTTATGACCATCTATTACTGCGTTCTCTTCTCTCAATCCTGTGCTGTAATTGCTGTTCTGTACAGTGCTTTATGTTCCTTCTGAGCCAACAGAATGGGAAGATGGTCAGGTTTCAAGGTGTGTGAGGGGATAAAGGAGCCAGAATGACTCTCCTGGGGAAACCAGTCAGACATCACGTGCTGACACAGCAGTAATTATAAGACAGCAGTGATGAGCTTGATCAACCAGCAGATAATTCATGTGTAGGTGAGAAGGGAAGGACCTTGGGGCAGGGCTGCCATCAGGAGTCTACTAGAGCGTTTACACATTCTCAGCACGAACCTTTTCACCTTTTAATTTTTTTTCCGCAGTTGTATTGAATGCGTTCAAGTTTGACTGGTTACAGTTCAGGTTGTGGTCCACTGATGGATTCAGGAGTACAGGAGGCAGGGATGTAATCACACTCTCTCTTCCCTTGAGTTTAGGCCAGAATTTAATAACTACCTTCACCCTGATAAATGTCTGCAGATCTACAATCGGGCGGACAGAAGGCAGACCGCTGCCGTTCTTCCTGACAGTCTCCTAATGCAGCGGTGCCCAACCTTTTTTTCCACTTAAATGCAAAGAAACTTTCCAAAGAGGTTTGTTTTTTGTTGATTTTGCTCGCTCGGGGGTTTCAATTTAGTGGTAATGTATTATGTGTTAATGGCCAGAGATGAACCGTTAGGAAAGTAGCAGATTTTGGTAAAATGTGTGACTGAGGCAAGAATCTTGACATGTATCAAGTCATAGACAGATGCAGCGGAGAGAATCTGGTAATTTTTCAAAATAAAACATTGTTCACAATCAGATAATAAATAAAAGGGAAAGCCTGTCGATAAAAGGGAAATAATATAATATTGTTCAGAATCAGATAATAAATAAAAGGGAAATCATGTAAGTTATGCATATGCATGGTACCAGTCCGTGGCCCGGGGGTTGGGGACCACTGTCTTAATGGACGACTAATAGAGAAAGAAGAGTCTTCAAGTCCACAGCTGTGACCTTGACATCGCCCTCTAAAGGCAGACGGACAGATGACAGTTGTCCTTGCTGTCAGTCGTGTGCTTCCGACTGTTATTTTTGGGAAAACCTTACTGGATTTTATACCTTTTTGCATTTGTCTGTGTAGGGCCTTTTAAAATTAAATATATTTAAAGTTACTCTCTCAAACCAGTTTGGATGCTTGTCTTGTCCCAGTCAGTGTTACAGGGACGTGGACACTGGACGGTCAGTCCATTAGGGACGGCCAATAAGCATCAAGCACAGTAAAGTCAGTCTGATCAATCTGGACCTTCATTAAAAAGCTGCCAAGCCCTTTGCAACTCAATATGATATCAATACCCTGACACCACAGATAGCCCTCAAGTGTCGACAGGCTAGCCACTTGCTACTTTACTGTCATTACTGAGCAGGCAGATTGCCAGGGACCCCCTTTGGTGGCCACTTTCAGGCTCCCTCCGTGGTATTAAACACAGGTCAGGAGAGACAGATGGTCTGTCTGGGCAGTGTTCTCAAGGACAAGACACAGGGAGACAGATACTGATCTGTAAACGAAGACCCGGCCATATTCTCTTACAGTATGGAGAGAGCATCTGTGTGTATTGACTTTTGCCAAGTTATACGATAAGAATTATTATTATTTTGGCCCTGTGTATTTCTGGCCATGCTGCTCAAGGACCCGGTTGGCAAATCCTGCAAGCCAAGTGTTGTGATGTGCACAAATTTGCAGTGCGGAGCAAAGTTCGATCAATCCCAGTGTACTTCATTCAGGACTGCAGATTTATTTCAATTCCCTAAATCCTCTTCTAATATTATTACTGGTAGAGAAGTCCAAATCATTCACCATCTTTTGCTGTGAAAAATGATTTTTTTAAAAGTAATAAT